AGGAAGGAAAAGGAAGGCAGGCAGGCAGGCCGGCCTCCCTTCATCCCCTCCTGAAACCTCTTCAGTTGAACCTCAGATACAAAACTTTTGTTCCAGGCTGTCTGAATCCCTGAACAGTAGCACTTTTGTTAGGGGGCGAGGACAGCTGCGCTATTTTGTGAAGTCCATACTTACTTTTCCTGTTAGAACTGTGAGATGGAAGATTGACCTGATATCTTGTAAGCATGGAAACTCTCTTTTGGCTGCAGGGCGAGTGCTTATTTGTGCCAGCGATGACCGTACTTGTGCTCAGCTCAAGGAATATATCACGATCGGGCCCAAAGCTTATTTAACAAAGCTCTACAACAAAACCTTTGGGTTGGATAAGGAAGCTAGTGGAAGCTGCCTGAAGAACAGGAGAGAAGCTAAGCGCCATGACAAGAATGCCAGAGAACCACCAGCCAAAAAAGCAAAAACAGAATCCTCCAAACCAAACAAGAGAAAGAAAAAGGCAGAGTTAACTCTAACACAAATGTTAAACAAAGAAGAGCAGGAAAATATCAAGGGAGAACAAGAAGATTCTGAGGGCTTCAGCAGTAGCCAGGAGAGCAATGGTGAAAGATCAGAAGATCTCCAATTAAAGCTGTCATCCTCAGATGCCTATTATGGTATCCTAAAGGAACCACTAACTGTTATCCATCCTTTAAATGGGTGTGGGGACCCTTATGCCCTCACATCCGTCCTGCATGAGGTGGAACCAAGATACGTTGTGTTGTATGATGCAGAGCTGACTTTTGTTCGTCAGTTGGAAATTTACAAAGCTAGCAGGCCAGGAAAGCCTTTGAGGTAACTTGGTTTGAAAGGGAGTAATTGCTGAAAGAGATTGTTTTGATTATGTTTGCATTCTAGGCTAGTTCGGACCAAAAATAAAAATAATACCATGTTCCCTTTAAAAAGAAAAGGACTCAACTGGATTTGTGGCCTGGAGAAATGAATACGTGCCTGTAGTCATTTTGCATTATTTATTCAGGGTCTCTTAATGAGGAAGGATATGTAGATTGTGAAATTTGATCATAGCTTCTCCTTCCTACAGAATGAATCACAGGCTTAATTCTTATTAAGGCAGTAAACCTGCTTCTTGTTCTGAGGCTTAGAGTTCCCAGAGCTAGCCCAAGACAAGGAGGTCATGAGATGCCTGCATAGAATTTGGAAGGTACTATTGAGGCTATGTTTATCTTCTTTTATCTTTGGGAAACTTTTTCTACTGTTCAATCAGAATCTATCTTCCTATAGTTTGACCCTTATTCCATGTCCTGAACTCTTCTCTATGACATTCCCCTGGGTATTTGGAAGATGGTTTCATATCTCTCCTAGTCATCAAGGATAAGCACATTTGTTCCCTCAGTCCATCCTTGCAAGATCTAATTCCTAAGATGCTGAACATCCTTGTTGTCCTTCTCTGTGCTTGCTGCAATTTGTCTTGACCGATGACAGAGGATGAAAATGACACTTCCAAAGTATTTCAGAACAAGAGGAGAAATTATTTTGGGCTTTAAATAAGTGATTAAGCATCCTTCCCCAAAACCAAGACTCAGAAAGAAGATTAAAGGCAACAGGCAGGCCCAACCTTAACATACTTACTGATACATGAAGCCAGTACTCACAGACTTCTGCAGAATACGGGTCCTTATGTGAAGTTCTTAGCTTCCAGATTTCTCATGGGGTTCTGTTTAAAGCCCATTGGACCAGATTTGACATGCCCTGCCCAAACTCCTTCTAAATTTTTGCTTGGGACAAGCCGTTTCATGCCAGCCATATGTCATCCAAGTGCTGCAGACCAAGATCCCCAAACCCAGATATCTCCTACTAATACCACTTCCATAGTGAGTCATGCACTAGCAGTTCTCTTCCATGGGCAAGGTAATGAATGAGGCCACCACCTGAGCCCCTGGATTCTTCAGCGTTCTTCACAGTGCATTGAAGTCCAAGGTGATGCAGTTAGAGCTAGTTTGGGTAGCATAATTTGTCCCCACGTAAAGGAACAGGAAGCTTTATTTGTCACTGAGCTTGGCACTTGTTCCATCAAATTCCTGGAAATAGCATACTTCAATAACCAGCCTATCTGGCTGACTCAAACAATTTTCTCTTCTTTGCAACAGAAAGTGCAAATATTACAGCCCTCCTCTTGGCCACCTTGCAAGCAGAGTTGCATCCTCTCTGTTCTTCTAGCCCCAACTTTTCCTATCTTATTCAGCTCAGTTTGTTGATCCTTCTTTGAAGGCAAAAGCATGAAAACACTTCCTGAGTTCAATCAGTGGAGAATATCTTCTGTGGCTCTTGTTCTTAGTTGTCGTTGTCATCCTCTGAGGTGATTCCTTTGTTTGAGATTCTCTTCCTTGTGAAGAGAGGCTTCCTCTGTCATGTCTGTTGAAGCACTTCCTTTGCTTGGTCTAACAATCTAATTAGGTAGCTGTTAAGAGGGCTCTAATTATGAAACGAAAAATGAAGTCTCCCATAACTCATGCTTTCTTAGTGACTATATGGATACATTTTATGTTCTTGACAACATTACAGAGATGGTTTGTAGTTATCTTCTTCTGGAACGTCTTCTCAACTTCTCAGTTTAGTTTACAGACCTGAGTTTTTTGGTGGTCTCCCAGTCAGTTATTAACCAGGGCTCGCCTGCTTAGCTTTTCTGAGATCTGACAAGGTTAGCTGGGTTCTGCCGTCTGCTGTGACAACTTTGAAAGACCTATGGTCATATTATATAGGTCAATAATAAAAAAAAATGGCTAGAATGAAACTTCTGGGATACAGGTTAGCCGGATTCATTTTAACCCGATTTTCACTTAGTACACTGTGCGGACTCTGGTGTTGTGATATGTAAGACATGATAAATGGTTTATCATTATGAATGTGTCTCGCCATTGTGGCTCATTTGGCAAGCCATGATTTATTGCAGTATGTAACCCAGCCAGTGTCTTTTGAATTTGAAAGTGTTTTCTGTCTTGCCTTGCAGAGTTTATTTCCTTGTTTATGGAGGATCAACTGAAGAACAGCGCTACCTTACGATGCTAAGGAAAGAAAAGGAAGCCTTTGAAAAACTCATTCGGTACAATGCCTCCTGTGTGCTACCATTTTATATTTTATATAACCCTTTTATATTGTGGCAGCAGTAGATGTCTGTGGGGCACTTTGAGCAGTGCCAAATGACTGTTACTTGTGACAGTATCACTCCGGAGTACAACCAGAGACCACTTGCCCCAAAGAGTCAATACTACTTGTAGCACTGGTCAGGAGGAAACCATTTAAAGACAGTCTCAGTGGTAAAATCTGGTTCATTGTGATGTTTGAATGTACAAATGAAGGCAGAATATCAATCAAATAATAAGGATAATGATAATACCTTGGGAGCTGTCCAAGGATGCTGAGTGATGGCGTAATGGGCTGTAGGAATAACCCTGAAGAGCAGGAGGAAGAGCCACAGCCAGGACAACAGTCAGATAAAAGAAATTTGAGTCCGAGGCAGAAACGTACTTTGAGAAAGCGTCTCAGGCTTGATCCTCCCTAGTTCTCTTTTGCATAAAAGCAGGGAGGGGGGAGGCACATTCAGACTTGCAAAATACTGTTCCAATAAAAGTAGTATTAGCATTCATAACTTTAGTTTCCTAGACTAGTCTACCTCAAAGGGCTGACAGACGGTGAGTAATTTTTTCACCCCCCCCTCTGAAATTGGCCAAGTTATAATGCCAATTCCTATAAATGCAATTACCTGCAAGAACTTCTGCTCTTCCCCAAAGATTTCTACCCATTTGAAAGACTGTCGGAGCTGGCTCTGTATCTTCCTGTTGCTATGCAGCTCCTGTCATCCTCTTCCCTTGCCATGTTTCCAAGGTAGCAAACTTATGTAAAAAGATGAATACTGTGGAGGATGGGCATAGAATTATATAACAAGTGAGAGAAAGCACGCAGAGGGAGTCTTCTTGAATTCTTTCCCACCCCTTTGTCAGCAACAGCCTTGGGAGGCATTGGTATTTTCTTCTTGGCGATGAAATAGCGTATTGTGTCTCTCTCTGTGTGCAGGTGGATTTTTTTAGGGGGTGGGGAGAACGGGAAATCAATGAAGGAAATCCAAAACTAAGTGGGGATTTGGGCCTGAGTGTCTCCTGGGTTCACCCAGTGCTCTGTCCGCTGCAGTGCGTTGTCGTGTAAGAAGAGAACTGCTGGATCAAGCTAGCCCTCACCTAACCCTCCATCCTGTTTGACCCGGTGGCTCAGCAACCCGCCCACCTCCCTCTGTTGTCTCAGCAGCTAGACGCTGAGAAGTTTTTCTGCCTTAGAATCTGAAGTAATATAATAGAGTCTCAATTTTTGTGTGTGTGTTCTCGATAGGCTTATTCTTTAATAATGTTTCTCCTTGGATGGTAGGCTGCTTGGGAACACTGTATCTAATTGCCCCGAGTCCCATCTCACAGAACCATGGGCTTGTTAGTAAGTTAAATAGTAAATTAAAAACATTTGTGTTAGTCTTTCTGTATTTCCCAGCTAGCTAGGAGGAAATTGGTGAATTACAAGCCCAACCTTCCCCAGTCTGGTCTCCAGATACAATATGATAGATAGCACCGTCTACCATCTCCAGCCAAGGTATCCAGTGGCCATGCCTTGTGGCCATGGGAGGAGTTGTCGATGGCTCTGGGATAGATTTTTTTCCCCACATTCAAGCTGGACAGTTTTAGTGCTTAAAAGTTAATACCGATGCATCCTTTCTTTTTCTTCATTTCAGAGAGAAGGCCAGCATGGTAATCCCCGAAGAAAGAGAAGGGCGAGATGAAACCAACTTGGATTTAGCAAGAGATTCCACTCCAGCCACAGTTTCTATTGATACTCGCAAAGCAGGTCTGTTTTGGAATCTCTGCAGCCCTTTTAAAAATCCCGTCTCAGTCGCTATCCTTTTTGGGGGCTGGATTCACACCGACTGATGAAAAGGTCGTGTGAACGTCCCACGTCGCTTGTGATAGCTTTGGTTTGTGCCCGGATCAGTGAAATGATGACTCCACTTGATCGTTCGTCCTGGGTAGTGCTGGCTGGCACCCTAAATGGACATGACTGCTGTAAACTGGTGTGGGTGATATATACGGGCATTTGTTACCATTCTAAGAAGGTGTCCAGATTCTTCATTCATATAGTGATGAATCCAAAAGGGCCTCACTTCCAAAGCACCAGTCAACACTGAGGAAAGCAGCAGACTTGTTTTCTGATTTGGAGGCAGAGTTTTCTACTATTTGAAAAGATGGGGTTACCCTGCCTTCTTTCTATCACTTTTCTTTTTTTGCTGCCCTAGATAGCCAAAGCATACCTTATCCCTTGGTAGCCCGGCTGTTACTGTTTTGTCCCACGGTTCATTGTGTGCCACGTATTGTACCGAAGAAGTGGCAAGTCCCCTGCCACAGAAAAATGCTCTCTAGAGGCACCGTTTCTGTTACTGCCGGATGGCAAAATAAAATTAACAAGAAAAAAATCCAAGAGGTCACCTTCACTGCTACATATTGCCAAGCATTTCTCCATATATGAGTCATTCTCCTAGGATGGAAGGAGAAGGGACAGCTTTGTCATATGGCATTGCACCCCCCCCCCCGCAACAATGCTTAGAAATTCTTTATATTAAAGGCCAATAACAAGAACTGGCTGAGAACGTGTCTTTTCTGGTTAGCAGCCAGTCTCCAGAGATGGAAGAAGTGAGTTTTCCCCCTTGGTTTGGCTTTCCATCCTTGAAGTGGAGATACTTGAGTTGTCTTGGGTGCAGCGAGGGGCACGATCACCTCCCGTCCTGCAACCAGATAACCTGTCAATACTCAGCCTCGTGCTAAGCTCGCCGTTCTTAATTTGGCTTCCGTGTTAAATTACCTCTGTTTCTCGCTGCTTTTCTTAGGTGGCCAACACCAGAAGGCCGTGCAGCACAGTATTGTGGTGGACATGCGTGAATTTCGCAGCGAGCTTCCATCCTTGATTCATCGTCGGGGCATTGACATTGAGCCCGTGACGTTAGAAGTGGGGGACTACATTCTCACACCTGATATCTGCGTGGAACGGAAGAGCATCAGTGATCTCATTGGCTCTCTAAATAATGGGAGGTTGTACACTCAGTGCGTTTCTATGTCTCGCTATTATAAGCGGCCCGTCCTCCTCATTGAATTTGATCCCAATAAATCCTTTTCTCTCACTCCCCGGGGGTCTCTGTACCAAGAGATCTCCAGCAACGATGTTATCTCCAAACTCACACTCCTTACCCTCCATTTCCCACGACTCCGGCTCCTGTGGTGCCCCTCTCCGTATGCCACCGCTGAATTGTTCGAAGAACTGAAACAGAACAGGCCTCAGCCTGACGCAGCAACCGCTTTGGCGGTCACAGCCGATTCTGAAAGCCTCCCTGAACAGGACAAGTACAACCCAGGTCCTCAAGACTTCCTGCTAAAAATGCCTGGAATAAATTCCAAAAACTGCCAGGCCATAATGAATCATGTTAAGAGCATTGCAGAACTTACCACCCTTTCTCAGGACAAGTTGGCAGAACTTCTGGGCAACGCTGCCAATGCTAAGCAGCTCTATGAGTTCATTCAACTACCTTTGACAGAAGCTGTTTCTCAAGGGAAAACAAAGAGGTGATGATGTATCACACAGGGCTTCAGAGAGTGCCTTGATTAACTGTGACTGTATCTTAGGAGTGACCTGTGCCTACCGTCTCTTTAAGCTGTGCCACTTTAGAGGGCAGACGAAGGTATTGGACTGTTCAGATGTTCCCTTATATCAAAAAGTTCCTTCATCGTGTTTTTCTTTGATGTGCTAAGCTGTCTCCACCCACTTTATTTTTAATATAAGGTACTGTAATTTCTCCTTTTGCCATAATCTTTTGCAGAATGTGATGATGGATTCTGAAGGGTGCCTAGCTCCTGGAAGCATTGGACAGGGATGTCTGAGGGGTGTGTGTGTGTGTGTGTGTGTCAAAGTCTGCAAGATGGCAGGTATGGTGTCTGCCATTTTGCAAATTTTACCACCCCTCTCCCCCAGATGCCCCACATTGGACATTTTTTCTGGTTACTTTACAAGCTTTAAAGGAAGTGTTCTAAAATCAGTGGATAATTTTAGTGTGCCCTTCATTGGTTAAAACAGCTCTAATAGAAGTAGGTTTCACTTCTGTTTAATTAACACTTCAGGGAAAAAAAAACATTGCAGATATTCAAGTCTTTTTATGCATTGATGCTCATTTGCATTTCCTATAATCTCTTTATGATGGCTGCTGGCAGCTGTTGCAGGTCCCAAATGTGTAGCAAGAGTGCTCAATTAATTACACAAATTGATTCAGTTTTAATCCATAAAGTACAGCCTTATTGATCAGGTGTGTTTTTTTTAATACTATTCCTTTTCATATTCATGCTTATAGAAGCTGGAAAGGGAAATTTCCCATCTTAGAAGAGGCATTCCATAAGCTGTCATGCAGGAGAGAGTAAGTGTATTTTAAGATGGGGTCTGGAGAGCATGTTGCAGGAATTATTTATAAACTTAATAATCTCTGTCTTTGCATTGAAACTATTTTTATTTGAGTGCAAATGTATGCAAATTGACTTAATTAACATATATAGAATGATAGCGTTGCACACTTAATTCCCAGTCTTTACCCCCAGGGAGAACAGTCAGTGACCTTTACAGTATCTTAGCATAGACATCTATCTTCAGCTTCCTATCATTTCTGCTAGTCAAATGTAAGAATTCTCATTCATGCTTTAGTTGCATTCCATTATGATGAACCCGCTTGAGATGCTAAAACGCAGATGAGTTTCTGAGAGGACAGGGAGAGAAGAGAAATAGGCAGCAGATAAGTAACTATTGCTTGGGGGAGTAGATTCAAATGGAGTCCCTGATTTTAGGATGATCCCCTTAATGCATTGCTAAAAACGAGTTCAGTCATTTGCGTGACATTGACGGAGGTTAATGTACAGGCCTAGATGTATGATTAGAAATAGTTGCTCAAATTGAAACAGAAATACAGTATATGTCATCATTAAGGGGAAGATTTTCATGCATGTTCAGGTAATTGCCCAGAGTGCTTGCTGGTAGGGGGTACCATCAGAGAGCCTCTGCTCACCCTTTTTAAGTTATTTATCTTTAAACCAGGTTTGAGCTGTGCAGCCCTTCCAATGGAGAACTCTTAGTCTGAGAGAGAATTGTCTTTTTATTGCACTTCAGGTGGAAATGGTCTTCTCTAAAGCAGGCGAAACGCTTTCCTTAATTTTTCTAAAGACCAAGCCTCCCTGTGGATGGATGGGGAAATATCACGCCAGTCATTTAGTGTTTTGGAAACTGAATAGGAAGTACTTTTCTATTAAAGCCCTGGGAAAAAATGTGCAGATAAAGAAGAGTGGCGATGCCTCTTTGTTCTTAAGGGGCAGCGCAATATGCAGAAAGCCTAGAAATTGCCCGTGAGCCCAATCAGTACATGTTTTTTATTCTGCATTATAAGGCAGATGGAAGATTTTTGCTTCAGAATATTTAACATTTCTATGGAATATGTTTGGTTTTTGTAGAAATCACAAAGAAGGTAAATCTGGGATTCAAGCATTAGTCTATGTGGGTAGGATACGTCATTACTAATAGAATTTGCATTTTTATATGATGTAATGAGTTGGGGTGTCCTACAAACATTAGAGTTTCTGCGATTAAAACTGGTGTTTTGTGTGTGTGTGTATTTTCATTAAAAAATGTTCACTATCTGAAAGAAGTTACTTTCTGCTCCATCTTCCTATAAAAATTATAGCTCTTGAGAGGCTTAGAAAGAAGCCTTTGAAAAATGTAACTGGGAGCGAATCCAGATGAGAATACCTTTCAGTTACTTATTGCAAGTCACAAAGAGCAGCCAGCGTTCTGCTAAGAAGCTAATAATGCAATAAGTACATTAGGGTTGTACAGTGCTTCAAATTCAACTCCCAAAAATGCTTTGTTGCTGCTGTGCAATCCCTGGAAAAGATGGCGTTGCTTAAAGAGTTGCAGGGAGATGTCATGCTTGTGCCCTCGTGCAAAACTTTTCCTAATTGCTTCTCTGTATGGATTCTGTGAAGTAAACCCCACTGAGTTCATTAAGGGAATGTAAATTCCAAAAATATTGCTCCAATTTAAACTAATTTACCTGACGTAAACAAGTGTAGAGTTGCAGTTAAGGGAAACTCAACACACCAAATTTGTTGAAAACCAGCTGCCCTTTATGTATAAGAATAATCCTAATTCTGCAGTGCAAGTTGCTAAACTATATAGATCAGGGTTCCCCAAAGTGGTCAGTATTGACCCCCAAAGGTCAGCGGGACTATCCAAGGGGTCGATGATGATGTTGTTATTACTATTTGTAGTACTATTAGTTAAAGTAGTATTTATTAAATTATTTTCATATAATAAATGTTTGGGGGTTGATGAACAGTCTGAAACTTCGAGGGGGTTGATGAGCTGAAGAGTTTGGGGACCCCGATATAGACTGTGATTATCTGAAAAGGTCCCTTCATTGGGGGGCAGTCATCTAGAAAAAAAAGTATGCAGGTGGGAAGCTCCATCTTAAAAGTGGTATTTCCCTATTATATAAAGAGGGGTATACATGTTTAGATTCATGGGTTTTGCTCATATGTTATGTGCGTTTTCAGTTAAAACACGTCTGTCTCTAGTCTGTATTTTATTAGCAGTACCAATATGATTCATGCGCCTGAGTTCTACTATTGTGCATAATGGGGCATTTTGCATGCCACAATGAGTTTTATGTATTGTTATCCTGTCCTCCCTTATCATCCCTTATCATCCGTTCCTAAGCTAACAACATACAGCCATTGTTGACTTTTCTAATAGGGGATCTGCAGTAACATCTAATTTTGGCTGCACTTCTGCAGCTCTATATCCTTTTTGATGTACCATGCCCAGAACTGTACATAATGTACAGATATTATTAAATTTTACAATTACACTTTCACATTTACTATTTAATAGCACATACTGATTAGATTAATGCATATTAAACTTGTAGCAAAAACATAAATGCATGCAATACTCACCTCAATGAGCCATGTGGCAGCTGAATATGAAGGTGTAGTTTGTACAACATTCTAGTACAATAGCTAGTACAAACTACCCAATTCAAATTTAGCTGAGGTAGCATAGAATACAAATCCAGGCATTAAGTTGCATCTACTGTTTGGCCCTAGAGCACAGGCTTTCCCCCCCCCAAATAGCTCCCTAAATTCCACAACCCTCCCCACCTCTGTCAAAACCAGGGGTGGTATACCCAAAGAGAAGCATTTTGTCACAGAGACAGAAAACCCACAACCTACCTTTGTTTCCCTTGGAAATGGATTTTGGCTCATCTGAGGGTTAGCAGTGAGGTTCGATGTGACATAATGCTTGTTTAACGGACAACTACGCCAACTTAGATATTAGTCTGATTAAAACCCATCTTTCAAAGGGGACTTGGGCATTCTCAGTTTGAATTCAAAGTATGACATCACTAAGGCTTTTAGATCTGTATGCAACATTTGTATCCTATCCTGACCATAAACCTATTTGTAAGTATTAAGCCTTACAAAGCCAAAACATACTATTCATAGACAGGAAAAGTTCATCAGTGTGGAAACCTGAAAATCTGCAGAATTATAAAAGCATATGGGGTTTAAAAATTGTAAGATGTTTGAGGTAGTGGAAACTGGAAGAGTCAAATAGCATTAAGCATGTTTAGCATCCACAGATTACTAAATGGATGGGGATGAAATGAATTAGAAACCTTCATGTAACATTTAGTTGCAGACCCACCATGGCTGCTCCTATTTGTGGGTACACCCTGTGGAAACCAGCGGGGCTGCACAAATGGGCAGGAGGAACCATAGAGAGAAAAATGTATGGTTCATATCTGTGTTATTTTAAGCCCTTCTTTTGGCAAAGAGTCAATTAGTTTGGTGTTAATGACGTTTCTTTCTGAAATGGAGAAAATGTGCTCCATTGTGTGATTATCAATAACAGATGACTCTGAGATCCTCTTAAAAATTACCTCATTATTTATTCTGAGTAAGGTCTGCAAATAAAACAAACTGTTTCTATATATAAAGCAGAGTTGCTTAGCTAAAGTTTCCAGGCGTCATCCTCGCAGATACAGGTACTGTCTCACATTACCCACACAGAAAGGATTCTGGCTTTTGTATAATGTCTTTGTCAGGCTAAGGGAATCCTCTCGGTGACATTTCTGGAGAACTCCTGTGGATGATGTGGCCTAAAATACCGTCACTGGTTTCTCTTAAGTGAGTGACGCATGCAGACCATTAATGTCAATCCTAGGAACTCCAGCACGGTTCAGCTTAGTTTGCCTGGGTTGGCCCACCACAAAAAGGGAAATGCAACCAGCCTCACCCACTTGCCTTTGCTTTAAAAAGAAGTTGAGTGTTGAAGCCTTTCATAGCATGGGGATAAAACTGGGCTAGTTCAGATTTAACTCAAATCCCCACCTCCCAAATTAGTACTCTGGAATGAAATGTCTTCTTGCCTTCATGGCGATTTACCCTATTGTGCTCTGCAACTATTGGTGAGGGTGAAGTGTCAAATATGAGATCTCCCAAGGACTCTGAAACTCTGACGGCGCATATGCTAGCACTGAACCTGTCCATGCACTA